CCATGAAAGCACTGCAAACAGTCCTTCCCGTAATGGCTGTGAATTGGGTGTTAACTGATGAACGGTTTACCACTACCTAAGTAGACACTCATTGAATCCATTTCCACATCCATTGGCAAACAAATTGACTGAATATTGAGATTAATTCACAATTAAATGCATAATTATACTGATGGTTAGATTTAAGAGAACGTGTTTTGGAGTGATACAGACTAACACCCTGGTTATTTTTCATATATTTATTGTGTTATTATGATTTATAGAGTGTGTAATGAATGAATGTATTCATTAGTAATTTATACAATATCAATAACAAATTGTCTTTTTTTTTATAAAAATGTTTCTTGGTATATTTTAAAATATGATATATTTATTTAAATTCAGAATTATGGATGAGTTGTGGGTGGAAAGATCTTTCCTAGAGCACATTATTATAGTGTGAGTGGTTATCTCATAATGTGAATTTTAAATTTGTTAATTAACATACGAGTCTATGGTGAGCATAAATTTACGTTCAAAAAATTTGTGGCCACATTTTTACATGTATAGATAATTCAATGCAAGTTTTGTATAATATAACACAATTTAAATGTAATTGTGTATTATAAAATAACCACTCACACCATAATAATGTGTTATAGCTTGTTCGAAAGGTTAATATGTCGACTTTAATATGGAGTATATTTATTTGACCTCGTTCCTATATTGTGACCTTTGACACATCAAAAATTATTCAATTATTTATTCAAAAGCTAAATAATTTGACATTATATCTAAATATTGTCAATTTATACCTAATTAGGGTATGTTAATTAATGTACCCAGTTGATAATTAGGTAAACCCCCTTGATTTTTATTGCGGATCATTATAAGAGTGACTCTTAATTAATAACTCATTTGAGGTTTGATTCTTATATAAGAATCCATTGTTATTTAAATAAAATGAATTAATTTTGTAATTTTAATAAATAATTATATTACGCGCAAAATGACTATCTTGGTAATAACGTGTATAGTATAATGAGAATGCAGATTAGAATTTAATTAAAAGTACTGTATTAGTTTTAACCTAAATTTGTTTAATAATTTTGCTAATTATACAAAATATTTTTTATAAAATATTACATCTATCATTAGATGCTTAATTGAATAAATAGTATCGCAATAAATTATTGATTTATTTGCCTAACTTTTATTTTTCACTTTGAACGTAATATAAAAATCATTATTAAATATATTTTTAGATCGATTTATAAAAATTATATTTTGAAAGCATATGAATTGTTTTGAATTAATTATAAAATCATTATTTATCGATTATAACTAAATATATTGACTCACAAACACACATAATTACATAATTGCGTGAAATATATTTTATTTCAATTACCTTAACTTAAAAGTTTTATAATAACTCAAAACCTTAATTATTAATGACTTTGAAAATAAATAATGTATATGCAAATGTTAATATCGCAATAAATCATTACATTTCGTAGCTAACTTTATTTAAAAGTTTTGTTTTTAAACAAAAGTAGGACAGTTACTCGTCCTACTTACTAAATAATATCAGACTTTGATAATTCTGTATTTTAATATAGTGTAAACAGTATCATAATAATGAATCCAATCTATGATAATACTGGAAGCAAATCAAAATTAAATATAATTGTTAAGAATAACCGTAAATTAGCAAGCTCATATAATAGAGCGCTAGACGACATAACCTACTCTATCAATCGGGCAGAGACTATACAATACTACTATTTGGCGCTGTTATCTCGAGACTGTGGGTCAGGTCTAACAGGTATTATTTATATCATAAATTAAATACCATTATGATTAATAAATATGGTATGCGTGTTATTTAAAGTAATAAATAATGCTTTATTAATAATCAGGTCAATTCAAAACATGGCGGGTGACATTATTTATATTATGTCGCGTACTTTGCTTGCTCAATTGCGTTAGATTTGCGATGTGCGCGGTAATAAATCAGGTATATATATCCATATATATATATTGCTCCTCACTTTTATAATACTAATCAATAACCTAAACATATTGAAAGCAATGGATTTGGGACCTAATGTCTGACTGGACAGTGGTTTTGACAAACCCTATGTTAATTGATTCAATATTTACTACATTATCCCTGGGCATATTTTGCATAGGGTGTGTCGTACAATATCACGAAGTGAAGGGTAACTGGTCGTTACTTTTGTTACTAAACCAGGTTAAAACGCGAACCATTAAATATCCACTTAATAAGCAAAATACTATCCGGCTCAATGATAAAACTAGATTCTTTGTTAAATATATGCTGCACGAATTAATTGCATTGACTATAGGTTTAACTACAGGCCTATGGATTTATGCCACGGTTATTTTATACATGAATGATACTTCAAATGTGCCCGTAATTAGCCTGATTATCGGGGCACTTGTACACCAAGTATTTCTAATACAAACATTTGGTATATTATGGATCGGATTATGCATATACATCGGTGTATCGCTATATTTGATACTAAAATTCAACGAGATGCATTTAGAATTTCAAACGTGTTTTAAGTTATATGGTATTGTAAACCGTAGTAAGCTTATGAATATATTACATGAATTTAATTTCTGGGAAGAGTATGTTCATTGTTTAAATCGGGACTTTTTTAAATATATCACCTTTATCATATATTACATAACTACACCTGGGTTTCAATTAGCGATTTATGTAGTCCATCATAAGCAATCTAACCTTATTATAAGACTATTCTTTATATTCATTGTCATCATATGCTTTTCGGCTACAATTATGATGAATATATTGAGTGCAAAGATAGCAAAATCTGCCCGAAAACCACTACCTTTACTGTATAGGTGTTTGTGTCGATGCAAACAAATGCCAATTTATTATCGCCTGAAAATTTATAATTTTATTGAACACCTGTCCGGACCTCCCATTGGTTTCTATTGTTATGACTTGTTTCCAATGAATAACTACGAGTTTTATCAGTACGTCATGATAGCGGGTGTTAATTATGTATTGATTTTAAATTTACTTTAAGTGTTGTATAAATCAATAAAAAGCTTTATTTATAATTTGTGATTTTAGGTCTGTTTTATGCTAAAACTTGTTGTTAAATGAAATTCAAATATATTAGTTTGCTACTGTAATAACATTTTATTGTATCTTATCATTAGTTCATCTAGTTTAAATTGTATAATGGTTATCATTTTAGTTAATATTAATAAGTAATCCTTATAAATAAAAATATTGTATACAAATTAACATTTTCTTACACAAACTTGCTGATTAAATTAATATTTCCCATGTTTTGTAAATTGATTACTCAAAATAAAAAATTTGTATTTAATATTTAAATAAAAAGTTATTATAACAAATACGGTATCACTCATTGCGACTCATACTATGCACCAAACCATATGATATGCAGGTATTTTATTTTCACCTTTATTAAACCAATAAGTCCTATTAACTCGCATGCATTTAAATATATAATTCATACTCAATGCCCATCACATGGGCCACCGTTCCCGTAGTGTACGACTACCTGTCCTTATTGGACGGGTTTGGGAGGGGGAATCAACTGAATTAGGACTTATCACTCCCGGTGTTGTGACAATTGAGTCCACATTCACACTCATTGTTAATATGTTGACCGAATGTTGAGATTATGTTTTAAATAATAATAATTTTAATAATAATTTTTATTTAGCAAAATCATGCAGTGAAATACATAACGAGTTGTAATCACAAAAATTCATACAAATGCTTAACAAATATATTAACTAATTATTAATTAGCTTTTATTATATGGTACTAGGTTAAATAGAAAAACTAAAATATAAAAGGCCATGTCAAGGGTTTGCAAATTGTCAATATAATTTTGTGAAATTAACAAAATAAAATAAGCTTTTTTAGTGGTATATAAATATCTAAAAATTATTTTTGTAACTTCAATAGTTAAAAATTTATTCACGTTTAAAAATACAAGAATTTCTTACAATTTGTCGTATATTTTCAGACTAACTTTTCAGCTATTTTTTCAACTTTGAACCAATCCTCTAAATCGATTCCCCATTGAAAAATAAAATGTCAATTTGTTAAACCAATCAATTACGTCTTGCCGTAACTTCGTTATTTATGGTCAGAAAAATTTTAGATTGTGATTTTTAGTATCAGCATTAAAAATAATGTTATTTAAAATTATTCCCATCCAAAAATAACGTACTTGTCAAAAACGTAATTTATGGGTTTTATTTTCTCAAAATTATTTTTTTGATAGGGAATTGATCTAGGGCATAAATTCAATTTGTGAAAAATTGTGAATGTCAAAAATTTTAATATTCAAATATCACCTCTTTACCCCAAAATACCCAAAGGTGGTATTTTGTGGTATTTTAATAGAGCTAATAAAATAACTTTTCATATCCTTGGGTATCGAAGGGTAATACCATTCAATTCGTGTTTATAATTTTAAAATGACATTTTCCGCTACAAATTAATTGTTTATGAAAATATTTATTAGTACAATTAACGAGCCTTATATTTGTTTATAATTTAGCGAAGAATCTATTTAGTTATCTATTGTTAATATCCTGTAATTTAGTTTTGAAATATAAGAATATAAACATCCATAATGCATTAATCGTTACAGTTTGAAAAATAATTTTCTGATAATATGCCATTCGAATAATTGTAAATCAATATGACAACAATATAAATTCATTTTAAAAACATTATATTTTCACTTTGACATCGTGTTTAGATAAGGAATTTGCCATAACATATTTTAAATATCAAACATATAATATAATACAGTCTAATATATTTGAAGTAAATATAATTTTTTTATATGAATTAATCATTTAAAGCAATCATTGATTTACAAAAAAGTAAAAAAGTTTTTAAATAAAAAACATAAAATTACTGTATTATTACAAAAAAACAAGTTGCTTGAACAATTATAACGTTTGTCTCATTGAATGAAATGACGTGATTGTTGATCGTAGGGATCGCATGGTTTGTGAAACTCCTGTCCCTCGAATCGGATCCATTTGGTGGCAATCCATTTGTGTCCCACCAGTACTGGACACCCGCTGTGCAGTGTCTGTCTATCGAGTTGACCTGATTTGTGCAAATTGTGCCAAAATAGTGCCGAGTATTTTGTGGGCCGTACGGTCACATTGAGACGTGTGAATACTGTGGCCCCACCGGCGCCCACATCGCTCAGGTAGTTGATCCACGTGACTATGCGCGCCGAATGGTTGAATGGGTTTGAACTGTTAGGTGTGTCGAAGTGGTAGTCATAAAACCCGCCGACACTATACTTAATAACATTGTATGGTTCGGCGACTTCCATGTTAAGGCCAGTGATGGCACCGATACGTCGGCTGATTGTGTCCACGCGTTTGTGTTGTTTGTGATAAAGCCAACCACCCTTCGCCAGTCGGCTGTTAACTCCATTGACATCCAGTTTACCATCTTTTCCCGAGACGTATAACCTGTCAATTGATGGCTCAGACAAAGAGATCATAGTTTGTGTCTCGGATTCCGACAGAAATTCATGGATTACAACGATTTGCGGACTTTTGTACATCTCTTCCACTTGAATGCGAGTCAACCGTAAAAACGGTGTTTTCGTTGTGTTTAAGTGAAAACACTTGAGTTTCGAGACAATCGAGTCATTCATAAGTGTTTCTCCTCGACATAATTCGTATACATTTTTAGATAAACGATAAATAGGTTTATCTCTAACACCAGAAGAAGTGCTATTCGTGTCGTTAAACACTTTGATCTCTGATATCAACTCATTTGTCTCGATGTCTGGCTTTATAGCGGGCGACAGTCTCCCATATTTTTGGGCTTCACTTGGTTTTCCAATTTTCAGTTCACAAAACGACAGATAATTAAAAATGTCTGCAATTATCTCATCGCTGGTCACGTCATCCAACCTATCGACCGCTTCTGTCAACCATTGCTTTGCATTCAAGTACTCCTTGTTATCCACCGTTTGTTTTCCAATCAAATAGCAATCGAAAGCATTTAAGGCCTGATTTTCATTTGAAATCACTTCAGCACCGGAACTGGTCTTAGATCTAATGAATCCATTCGCTAATGACTTGATATCCAAATCATAAGTACTGACGAGACTTATCACTCCAAACGCGGCGTCTGTTCACAAGTTGTCAATAATTTTCATTATTTTATAACATCTCTATTATTAGCTAAAATTTATTTGAATACCTTTTAACTCCTTATTAGTGATAATCTTATGACTATTGGACATTAACTGCGAGTCAAACGTATGCTTTTTAACGAATGCTTTAAAGATATTACTATAAATTATTTAATATTAAAAATCTATACTAGGTATAACTCATTAAAAATTCTATTTGAAAATTATTATAAAAATGTAAACACTTAAATAACCTGGTTTAGTTTTAAACGATGTAATATAATTTGTATGCGATTATAAAGTATCAAGTAGATAATAGCCGTAATTACGCTCAACCCCAATGAAAGTAATGTGGGCATTTCATTATCATTATTTATGTTATGAATATATGTTCTTAAAAGCCATGATATAAATGCTTTGATACCAGGTCTGGAAGCATGAAAATAGAAAAATTATTGTTAACCACAAATTCTCGATTATACTTTTATTAAAAAACAAACCGATTTTCAAAATATTGATCCATTCCAGAGGTATTTAAAAAATAACTAAAAACACGAGAAATGCACATACTACTAGAATGTATTATAATAAAATAAACAATATAAGGAAATATAAATAAAAAACCATATATAGTATTATTAATAGTAGTGGTAGTATTATTGTGATATTATTGTGGTAGTATTATTAGTATATTAGTAGTGGTAGTATTATTAATGGTAGAACTAATAGTATTAAGAATGATGATAGTATTTCGTGAAAAGACCATATACAAATAACTAAAACTGTTAAAATAAGTGATGCACGTATTCTACCAACCAGTGTCCACTTTGTTTTAATGATTGAATCTAGAATTAAGATTAGATGTTTTAATGATAAATATAAGTAAAATGTGTCTAAGAATTGTAGCACGGATAATTCAACAATTATGAATATGCACATAAAACAAAATGTAATACGGCGCTTCCAATAAATCCATACTAATGATATTGTTAAGATAATAGAGAATGCAATGGATAACTCGTTTAAATCCTCTTGGCAGCAATTTCTACACAAGACCCTTTTAGGTATATAATCTTTTAAGTGAATATAATAAATGGCATTTAATACAATCAAGACCAAAATGATCAGTACGAATTTCACTAAACGTAGAATACTCCAAAAGCCAAGTATGATAAACATCCGTAGTGTCCACACGTGGGTTAGTCCTGGTGAAACTATCGGTGCAGTTTCACACAAATGTATCACCGACATATCGGTATTTATAATGAATGTAGTTTTAGATAAAAAGTAGTCGTTAATGATATCATACTCAGGTTTCGGTAAATGCAATGAATGAATGTGTGTTTGAAATGTGGAAATCATTTCATCAGTTATGCGGATATTATGCGCGAAAATGTGTGTCAACCCATTGACCACATCGGTTGACATATTTGTCTCAATTTTCTTCACATTTTGCACGTAATTAAAAAATAGTTCAATTTTATGAGCATTAATTCCAACATTATTTGGAAAGTTTTTTAAACGGGATAATCTAATATGAGATAACATAAATTAATAAATAACAATATATACAGTATATTATAGCTTACTTTTCATAAATGTTTTCAAATAAATCAAAAATAATGAATTCGGTATTACAAGAGTGGTCACCCTTATTATTATAAGAATGATTTAACATTTTAACCTGATAATATCTAGCATTGTTTTTATCATTGACAGTCATTATATATTGAGGACTGAGTTGCCAAACACTTATGTCAGTGCCAATAGTTTGTTGTAAATACTGAACACATTGTAAGAGTTCTCGCAGTAATTCATACGATATATAGTAATCTATGCAAATCATGTCAAATGTATTATCATGGTAGAATAGTTCATTTTTAATATTTATAAAATCAATTAGTCTTATTGAACACAATTCGAGTTGAATATATATATAATTATTATTAATCCATGAATTATAACATTTAATCGTATGGTCGGATTGATTATTATACGAATTTCTTATGAAAGCCAATAACTTATTAATTTCAGCAATTGTGTCTGAAAATTGAATATTAAATAACAATAAATTATTAGATTAAAATAATATCATACTGTATTGAAATAATTGTGAATGACAAATCAGGTATTTATAAAACGGAATGCCATTCACAGAAATTGTTTTTCATAATATCATATATTATATTACCTGACATTTTAAATTTAAATATTGAATATTTTTGTGGAATTTTATGTTTTGATGTATAAATTGAAATAGATTTTTCATTTATATTATTCTCTGTAAAATCAAGATATATAGTATATATTAAAATTTTTTAAGATATTTTTAAATTTTAACCTGTTGTTGTTGTCAAATTATTATTCATTTGAATATAACAAGTTGGTTTGCCCTTCACGAATAGTTTATAGAAAACATCGTATATATTTTTATTAATAGTTTCAAATAATAATTTGCATTCATTTTCCTGAATAACAGGTTTAATCATAAATGTCTGCAATTGTGATAAAATGTGCGAAACGTGTTGAAATAAATTTTTCATCAGTTATTTCATACATGGCTTCATTTT